AAGACAGATTCTTTTTTTGGTATCTTCATTGTATTTAATTTTCTGTGTTTTCACAAAAGTGATATTCTGGTTGTAAAACAAATAGTAGTAATATACTGTTTGATAGATAGTAGTAATATACTGTCTATTTTCTTTGACAACTAATAGTAATATACTGGTGTCATTAACAATTACAAAATATTAATTTGTGTTACAGAAAATTATTGTGGTATTTTATTTTTCTAGTTTTAGTAACAAGGAAAATAAAATTATTTTGTGTTATAATTTATTTTCTGATTTTAGTAATTAGAAAATTAATTTCTGTTTTGGTTTTTTTTTTTTTTTTTGTAATCAGATATTATGGCTACTGCAACTGGAAGTGGTACTCCAATTGTTACACCAACTCCGGTCCCTATCCAGAACCATGTTCAAGTTTCAATAAATCATGGAGAAAAACCAGAAAAATTTAACGGTATTGAGTTTAAGAGATGACAGCAGAAAATGTTGTTTTATCTTACAACTCTAAACTTGGCCCAGTTTCTCCGTGAAGAGGCTCCAGTACTTAGAGAGAATGAAAGTAATCGGCAAGTTGTTGCCGCTGTAGATGCTTGGAAACAATCTGATTTTTTATGCAGAAACTACATCCTCAATGGCCTTAACAACATGATGTATAATATTTACAGCCCTCTGAAGTCAGCAAAAGAATTGTGGGATTCTTTGGAAAATAAATACAAGACAGAGGATGCCGGCACGAAGAAATTTGTTGTCAGTAAATTTCTGGACTTCGTTATGGTAGACTCTTAAACGATAATTTCTCAAGTTCAAAATTTTCGAATAATTTTACATGATATTCATTCTGAAAGTATGTCTCTTAGCGAGTCTTTCCAAGTCGCTGCTTTAGTGGAAAAGTTACCACCAGCTTGGAAAGATTTCAAAAATTATTTAAAACATAAATGCAAAGAGATGATCATGGATGAATTGATTGTAAGATTAAGAATTGAGGAAGATAACCGAAAAGATGAAAAGAAGAATGGGAAAAATCCCATTGAGTCCAAGGCTAATGTGGTTGAACAAGTTCACAAACCACATAACAAGAAGAGAAAATTTACTGAAAATAATCCTAAACAATAATAATGACAATAAAAAGTTCAAAGGAAAATGCATTAACGAAGTTGTAACCATGTGAGTCATACTTAGAGGAAAGCTCTTTCCCAAATTCTGCAAGATTGATAGTCGCATTGCCTTTGACCCCAAGGCCGATTGCAACAGGTTATCTATCTCTCTCTCTCTCTTTTTCTCTCTCTCTCTTCTCGGAGGAAGAAAATTTTGTGTTCGTTTGTGTCAAACAAATTACAAAATATGATGGGGCACACCAACACGTGGTGTTTAGACAATTTTTGCTCGGACACACATATCATATCCTCATTGGTTAATTTCAATTTTATCTTCTAAATTATTATTATTTTTTTTTTTCATTTCATCCATAAGTTATCAATTTCGTTTATTTGGTTCCCAAAATTTTAATTTTTGTTCATGTAGTTTAATTGGAGATGATCATATAGATCAATAACTATTGAAGCCTAATTTGATGACAAAAAAACTATTATTTCAGAGTTTAAAAGATTTAAAATCATACAACAAAATACTCATTTTTTATGGGAGTTTTTTTGATAAATCCACTTTCTAAGAGCTTTATTTCATCCAACACATATTCCTTTTGACTATTCCTTTTGACTATTCCATTAGGTCCTATTTGAGATAAGAAGACCAAAATACCCTTTTTATCTATTTATATTCCATTTAGTTCATATTATTTTCTTATGTTTCAATAAGTCCTATGGGTGACATAATTACCAAAATACCCCTAATGTGAATGTTCACATCGTCAATGTGAATGTTCACATCGTCAATGTGTAGGGGCCCGGCCCATGTCGATCCTCATGGGTGCTCGGAAATATTCGAGTCGAGCCGGGGCAGCCTCGGCCCATTGACAATGTGGATATTCACATTGACATGTTAACATTCACATTAATAGGAGTGTAAAATTGGCCCACATCTCGTGCCGGCGCGAAACCCGCTCGGAGCGGGCCCGGTTCGGCCCGTTGACAATGTGAATATTCACAGTGATATGTTAACGTTCACATTGATAAGAGTATAAAATTGGCCCGCGGCCCATGGGCGGCCAAAAGTGCGACAGCGGCCCGGGGCGGGCCCAGCCCTGCCCGTTGACAATGTGAATATTCACATTGATATGTTAACATTCACATTGAAAGGAGTGTAAAATTAGTTCGCACCTCGTGGTTGCTCGAAACCCGCCTACGGCCCGTGGGCGGCCCGGGACGGGCCCGGCCCGACCTGTTAACAATGTAAAGATTCACATTGACATGTTAACATTTACATTGATAGGAGTGTAAAATTAGCCAGCGGCCCAAGGTGGGCCCAACCCGGCCCGTTGACAATGTGAATATTCACATTAACATGTTAACATTCACATTGATAAGAGTATAAAATTGGCCCACAACCCATGGGTGGCCCAAAGCTCGACCGCAGCTCGAGGTGGGCTTGGCCCGACCCATGACATTGTGAATATTCACATTGACATGTTAATATTAACATTAATAGGAGTGTAAAATTTGCCCGCTGCCCGAAGCTTACCCGTAGCCCGGGGTAGGCCTGGCCCAGCCTGGGCTCGAGCCTAGTCCGAGACCCTAGGCTAGGGCCTGGGCCATCACTTTGAAGCCCGGCCCAGCCCAGCCCATCAGCCCAGTTAAGGCCCATTCAAGGCTCAGTCCGAGGCCCGGCCCGTGCTGAGGTCTAGTGTCTTTTTTTGTAGAAAATAATAAAATTTTGGTAGAAAAAATTAAAAAGAATTAAAAAAAAATGGCCAGGCCCGGCCAAGCCTGAGGCTAGGCCTAGGCCCATCGGCCCGACCCGAGGCTCGACCCACCGGCTCGGGCTCGGACCCAAACGGGCCTGCCCCGGGCCGTGGGTAGGCTTCGGGCAGCCTACGGGCCACGGGCCAATTCTACATTCCTATCAATGTGCATGTTAACATGTCAACGGGAATATTCACATTGTCAACGGGCTGGGCCGGGCCTACCCCGGGCCATGGGCAAGTTTCGGGCAACGGGCAAATTTTACACTCCTATCAATGTTAATGTTAACATGTTAATGTGAATATTCACAATGTCACGGGTCGGGCCAAGTCCGCCTCGGGCTGCGGTCGGGCTTCGGGCCGCCCACAGGCTGCGAACCAATTTTACACTCTTATCAATATGAATGTTAACATGTCAATGCGAATATTCACATTGTCAACGGGCCGGGTCGGGCCAGCCCTGGGCCGCTGGCCAATTTTATACTCTTATCAATGTGAATGTTAACATGTCAATGTAAATATTCACATTGTTAACAGGCCGGGCTCGCCCTGGACCGCCCACTGGCCGTGAGCGGGTTTCAGGCAGCCATGGGGTGCGAGCTAATTTTACACTCCTATCAATTTGAATGTTAACATATCAATGTGAATATTCACATTGTCAACGGGTCGGGCCGCGCCCGCCAGGGCCGCGAGCGGGCTTTTGGCCACCCATGGGCCGCGGGCCAATTTTATACTCTTATCAATGTGAATGTTAACATGTCAATGTGAATATTCACATTGTCAACAGGACAGACCGAGCCCGCCCCGGGCCACGCATGGACCGCGGGCGGGTTTCGCGCCGACACGGGATGCGGGCCAATTTTACACTCCTATTAATGTGAACGTTAACATGTCAATATAAATATTCACATTGTCAACGGGTCGGGCCGAGCTGGGCCCGTCCCGGCTCACGGACGGATTTCGGGCCGCCCACGAGTCAATTTTACATTCCTACCAATGTAAATTTTAAAATATGAATGTTCACATCATAAAATTGCTAAACGTTAAAAAAATATTTATAAGGATATCAAAATTAAATATAAGGGTATAAGTGTTCAAAAAAATAGTGTAAATAAAAAAAAATGACTTTATGAAATAAAACTATACATACATGGGATTAAATGGATTAAAAAATTCCTTCATAATTTTCTTGGGTTAAAACATTTATAAATCAAATTTATCAATAAAAATTCCATTTTTTATTTTTACTATTTTGAATAAGTTACAGTTTGCAACTAATTTACCAAGTGTTTGGGTATATGATTTGATTGTCTAAATTATAAAATTATCCTTTTGCTTATCAAATAAGACTTTATTTGCATAACCGTCTTTAATTGGACCATATGACGAGAAATCATTAACTTCAGAAAAATACATCAAATATTTTTGGATGAAATAGAAAAAAATTGTTACAGTTTTAATGATAGAAGTGAAACTAATCCCATCATATGTATAAGCTTCGCTCGGAATCAAGTTTGGGGTTTTTTTTTGATTATTTTAGTTAAAAAAAAACAAAATAAATTTTTTAACCTAATAAGACAAAACATCACATCTAATCTATAAACATTACATTTTTTCTCTCACAAAAAAAATTAAAAAAGCTAAAAAAGTCAAAAATCCTTCCCAAACGAGACTTTTTTAGTCCCAAGTTAAAATAACCAAAAAAGTCAAAAAACCAAAAAATCAAAAAGTCAACCAACTTCCCAAACGAAGGCTAAGAAGAATTATTAAAATAAAATTTCATTTTTACTTGTAAGCTTGTACATTTTATAATTATTATTTAGATATATAGCGAAATATTTGAAATGATACGCCTATACTCAATAGTACTGTACCAACTAAAAAATCAATACACCAACTGGTAGAGGATTTGACATGATAATTTCAAATGAGGCTATTTATTATTTATATATATAAATTAAAATTAATATAATCAAAATGAAACATTATAAATCAAAGCTTAACACTACAAATCATGACTACCAAATATATAATAATAAAACAATCAAAGTCTCAAAACATAAAAATAAAAGTGTAAGTTGCATAATATATATTTTTAAAGTATGTACTATTTTTAATAAAATATTAAATACTTGGAAAAGCTCAATAGGAACCATGGCTACATATACATAAACACAGGCCAATTAAGAATCAAGTATGAACATGCTGAAGACTCAAATTTTGTTCAAAATTAATCTGATTTTGAATCACGTTTGTTTATTTAATACAAAATGTTCCTGAGCGCTTGTCTTCTTATTTATCCTCTAACTACATATCACTTGACCAAATCTAGCAGTAAAATGCTTTTCTCAAAGCAAATTTGATTTTTATTTCTCTGACCATTAAAATTTTGATGCCGACCAAGTTTAATGCCTAAGCCCCAGACCCAGCCAAACGACGCCTGGTGGCATTTGAAATAGATACCTGACCGGGTTTATCTGCCTCGGTGGTCACCATTCGTTCTTTGAGTGACATGTAATGCTGCAACCATACACCAGTGTACACCTGAAAGATGAGGTAAAAATAACAGCTAAGATAAAGCAGAAAATTAAGCACCTAAGATATGGAAAAACCCATAAAACTTGCACACTAATTACTACTCCCAAAAATACTTCAATGCCCAGAATTTCTTACATAATAACTTTCAACAGCATACACACAAGCAGAACAAAACAAACAAACAAAAAGAAGAAGAAGAAGGACTTTTGATATCATACCTCCCTATTAACTATTAATACATGTTGCTCCGATGAATGATAATTGTCTGAAAAGAAACTAGCAATATTTGCAATTCTGCTGTGTGCATTAAAATGAATGAAGTCTTCATCTCATTCTCAATTTTGAGAAATAACCAGGACTTTTAATATCTGACTCCAATACATGACCCGCTACTTGGTATCAGCATGAGAAGTCTGAGCAAAATACGTGAAAAACCGGAAATATTGGGATAGATAGTTAACCAATCCCATCAGAAATCATACCGAGGACCATTAACATTCATACAATTCTTAGAACATGTATATCCTAAATTTGGAACCAACCCAAGATGACAAAAGTAGATTTAGATCAAGGCACAACCCTGAGTCGCCCCCCTAATCATTTCAAACAAGGAAAAGTTCATTTTTTTGATAGGTCATGCAAGGAAACTCAAACTTCTCTTTATTGGGGGGATGCAAGTACAGGGAATGAAAATCAAAATAAAATAAAACCATAAATACGACTTGCAACACAAAAAAAAAAAAAAAATGATTGGGTAAGTAGAAGATTAATACAGAAAAACAACAAAGGAAATTTCTCACTCTAAACCAGAGGCAAAGGCAAAGGCAAAGTACAAGGAATTTTCTCATATAAACTGTATAGACAGGAAAACAATCTTCATGGCAAATTACCCAACCAGTCGAAGAAATTCTAGATTGATGTCATTATTAAGTAATTTCACAGAAGTACCCATTATTTTGCAAGAAGATCCAAGTTATAAGCTTTAGTATAAAATATTAGAGGGAAAAAAAAGAATAGGAACAATGCTAGAAATCTAACCTGTGCCGGTCTCATTATCTTTGTATCAGGGTCATCCAGGGACTCTCGCCAATGTGACAAGTAGCCAGCCATACGAGGGATTGCAAACAAAACAGGAAAGAACTCCGTTGGGAAACCCATGGCCCTGATTATCAATTTATTAGTTTCAAATAGAAGTGTCTCACTTGGAGAAGAAAGTGTATGCTCACCTATAAATTAACCCAGAGTAGAAATCAACATTTGGATATAGTTTCCTCTTAACAAAATACTCATCCGATAGTGCAGCTTTCTCCAAAGCAACAGCCACCTGTAAATGGTAAAAGATCAACTTATAGGGGCGCAGCAATGGCATTAGGCATTTATAATTATAGATTCAATGAAATCATGTCATTGAATAACCTCTCCACCCAACTCAACCCACCCAACTCCCCTCCTTTCTGGGGCATTGCCAGAAAGATAGCATATGAGACCTATCAACAAGAAGTGAATAGCAATGACATGACAAATATTAAACTATAGGAAAACAATTCAACATTACTAACTTGAGGTAGAATAGAGCACACCCATGTATACGCTGCTACAAGGTTTATGCACATACAGATTAGTATGGATTCTTGACACCCATACTCAGATTATGCGTATACCCATGCTCAAAAGTGGAATTATTGCACCAGGTTTTCATATAACTTAGTTAACTAGTACAGGCACGTCACTAACATATGAATGACACAAATATGGCTTCTTTGGAGAATCTTTTCTATCTATTGATAGTAATGTATTAAGTCTTAGTAACAGCATAATAGATTGCAATGCCATCATTAGACATAATCTACAACCATATAAAAACAAATAACAGCAAAGAGGTTCTGTATGATTTAAGCATGCAACATTCACCTCGATGAGAGGATCCCGGCCAACGATTGAAAAAACTTCCTCTGCCAGTTTCCTTATGACCTTTGCTCTGGGATCGTAGTTTTTGTAGACACGGTGCCCAAAACCTGACATCTTTCGCTTCCTATAAAAACCAAGTTGTCACAGAAACAGCAATTAGATGGCAGAAAAAACTACACACGATTCATCTTCAGTAACTCCTGTCACAAAGAAAATTATCAGAAAAGTAATCCTCACCTGTTTTTCACACCTTCAATGAACTCTGGAATATTGTCAACAGTTCCAATCTCGCCCAACATTTTAAGCACGGCCTGTTTTAACCAGGGCAACAAAAAGCATGCCATGTAAGGCTCAGACTCTCTCACTCAAGGTGAAAACATACAAAAATAACAAGTAAAATTAACTAATTAATTAACAAGCAAAGTTGTTGATGCTGTCTCTTGTGGACCTGCTGCTTAGAAGCATGGAATTCAAGTAGAAAATGTCAACCCACCTCATTTGCTCCACCATGAAGAGGACCATACAGTGCTCCAACTGCTCCAGCAAGAGCTGTGTATACATCAACACCACTGCACAAACAGATCAGGTTTGTGATCCATGACTTTAATGGTTGTTTTGGTTTAAATTAGACACTTTAGATGCCTACCTTGATGCTAGATGCCTAGCAGCAGCTGTGGAGCAATTCATTTCATGTTCTGCATGTAATATAAAGAGAATGTCCAGCACACGCGCTAGTCGAGGATTGGGTTTATAAGACCTATTACCTCTGCAAATTGCAAAAACAGAATTAAATTTAGATTAGGCCCCATATACCATAATGTTACAACAATCAACGGGAAGGGTCCCAAAATTTCAAATACTAAATAGATCCTGTGAAAGAGAGCTGCTAATCACTGTGTATGGACATGTGTTAGCTCACTTCTGGCTTTCCATAGCTTAGTAACCATAAACTCATAATTCTTTTGCAGAGGGATCTCACACACACACACACACACACACATGAGAGAGAGAGAGAGAGAGAGAGAGAGAGAGAGAGAGAAATGTTATTCCGGCCAAATCAGGTATGATTAGCATGTTGAGAAGGATGTTTATAAAGTTATGCAAATACTAAAGAGGGAGAAGGATGCAGAAGGACATACAATGAATCTAGCATATATAAGAAGTTTTCTGAATAAGAAAGGTTGCTAGAGGGAAGAACAGGAGGCCTTCCTGCCATCCTCAAATAAGCAGCTGCTGCAATTGTTGGTGCCTGTAACAAAATAAATAAATTTAAAAATTAAAAATTAAAAATAAGAACAAAATCGAAAGCAAAAAAATGATTGGTGCCTGAAAATATAGAACATCATCTTGTGTGAACAAAGATCATATACTGTAATTAGATGGACCGACAATATAATCAGCACAAAATGTACAGGAAACAAATTGAAGCCCAACATCCAGGACAATGATTTAAAAAAAGCAAGATAAAGAAATTAACGTACCTTCCCAAGTATACGCACTATTTGTTTATCTCTTACTTGTTTAGACTTGTATAAATCTTGGCCCTGCAACAACAAAGATATATATGTTAAGAAATGGTTGAAAAATATTGAACATCAAGATGGAATTTACATTCAGAATACAACAGTGAAAATCTTCAGATTACGCATATGAGCAAAGTCCCCTAGCACAACCGATCAAGGTCACTCAAATAAAAGAAAGAATGGAAGGGTGGTTTATCATCCATGTTCCTTGATGAATTTAGTTAAAATAACTGCAGAACAGCTGATAACCATTGCCTGCCTAGCACCGAGAGAGAGAGAGAGAGCATCCACCCACAACAGTTCCTCAAACACCAAGAGACGAGAACAAGAGAAGGTTTACTTAACTTCTGCAAATTTTCAGCGCTCTTTAGTTAAAATTATTTACTCAGCTACGGGGGCTCCATGGTTGTTCTCCATGAGCTAAGATGTCATCTCAAAATTTTACCAAAACAGCAAGAACTGCATCGACACTGAAGTGATGAAGTGAAGTTCATTCACAGTATCACTATTTTGCATAATTTGAAATATGACTGAAACAAAATGACATGAACTGCAGAAACAGGACTCTCTGGTATTAGTTGATTTTCCTGCTCCCAAACCATAATTTCATGCTTCCTTTTCAAAAGCTCATTACAAACCATAATTTTCTAGACAAAAACCATTATTTTTGGTAATATGGCATCAACTTGATTAGAGCATGCACTTTAAAATCCAATTTTTTTAGTCCTTTCCGGTTCCAACATAAAAGCAGGCTGGTGGAGTTTTCCAATGTTCAGCTTCAGCTTACCCTTCTTTTTTTTTATGTATTTTATTCATCAAGGCACAAAGTGGGTACCAGCCGTATAGAAAACCGTAAGGGGAAGATCCCCTGAACCTATAAGAAAGACAAAACCCCTATACAAGTATTACTGAAAAGATACAACAAAGTCCAAAAATTGATCCAAGATGGTTCACAATTCAAGAAATTTTTCTTCTAGACTCAAAAAGGGATTGAAAAGTTTCTCCAAGTCCCTATACAAAAATCGGTAACCGCTATATTTGCTATAGATGAATTAAATGATTTACTTAAAGCAACGGGATAGTCTATCCCCCATGCCACAACGAAATGAGAGCCAACCTATCTTCTCCATATCTAAATTTTACTTCACTCATCAAGCTTGAAAGCTTCACACTAAAACCAACGTAACTTATGGCAATACAAGCACACACCGTGAGACAGTTTGGCTCATGTAAGACACCTAAAGCAAACAGCAAGTCAAAAGCACATCATTAACTAGCTTCATGGTCAAAATAAGAAAGTAAATCATGTTTATTTTTCGAGAGAGGGGCACAACATATAACAGAAAAACTTGTATTGTAACAAAAACAAATGCTGGGAAAATAGTTCCATATTTTGAATGGTTACTTACTAAATGTTGTAGTAATAGGTTGCAATTAAGAATTCATGACATCCAAAGCTATATATACCCAGAGAAGAAACAAGCTACATATCACATACCCATCTTACAGAAATCTTGTTTGAGAATGTAATAATGTGAACCAAACCCTATAATGAAAAAACTTCATTATTGTAACCATGAGCAATCATTCTTCCTAGATTCGGTCAATCATTGTGATAAAGACACTGTCCTAACGCACAAACTGGGAAGCCATGCACATTCCATATAAAATGGATAAAAAAACTTCACAAAATGAAGTCATAATATGGTTGTCGGTTAACTTTCCAATGTTAAACCACACAAGTAAATATTATTGCACGCATATTTGTAACATACCCATGTCCATTACAAAGTTTCAAAAATGAAAAATCCATAACAAGTTTAGATTAAAAACTTGACTTACTCTGAGAGCAGGATTGGCATCAGGATGAAAGACAGAAAGAGCACTCATTGCACTGACTAGAACACCCATGGGGTGAGCATCATGAGGCATTGCCTGTATGATATCCTGCAAAACAAATTCACTCAATTTAGCATACCATGGTAGTTTAAAGCATAACTCTCTTTTTCTTTCATCACTTTCTTTTACAGATGGCAACAACCCCACCACCAATTAGTTTCTAGGTTGCCTGCCACTTTGACCACAACGCTACATCCTTGGAAAATTGTTTTGTTTCATGGGAGTTGAAGACTAATATTGAAGCCCATCCCCAGCTTCAAATAATTCAAATTGAGATTCATCATTATCACCCCTAACTGCAAATGTCTAGTAAATTTTAGGAGGTTCCCTTCCCATTTGTATAATGGTGACAACATTTTACTTCAAACAAATAGAAAAAGATAAACATCCCCTAGCAATATACTTTCTACCAAAGGCCATTGATAAATTCAGAAACAATTCCTTTCCTATGTTCTTGGGGCTTCTAGTAAAAATGAAGAAATCGCAGCAAGTAAAAAATATCTATAAATAAGATGTCTATCATCTTGAAAGTAAGGGCTGGAACATGAGAGCAGCAGCCCAATTCCCAAAAGAAACATGTAGAAAGGGCTACATGAAAAGTGGCTTAAATCATCTGCTAAAATAGTATATAGTACACATTATTTTTTAAAAAAAAGAGTCACAGTAGGTAAAGAATCTCCCAGAACATGGAATTTATAATTTAATTAAACATGACTTTTGTTAATCAATTTCAAGAAGTGTGACAAACTAAAATCGAGAACCACGCCTAGGAGGGCTAATCTTGATTTATTTTTATGGATGAGAAAGCTTTCCAGTTCAGTATGAGGCATGGCATGTCTGAAATGTGCATATTTTTTCAAGAGACCCAACCACTAAGCATATAGTTTTAACTATACTTCCTTAGGAAAAAGAGGGGGGTTGTTTGCAGAAGAGACAACAATGATGGTCACAAAGAAGGCAATCAGCTTGGTATCCTTAAAACTGTTGAAATTCTAGAAAACTTTAGAAAAAAGTTGGGATTAGATGTCATCACCAAAACAATAACAACATTCTAATGATAGAATGCTGGACTTGGCATCATTTTTGCATGATGAGATGAAAAATTATATTCCTTGTAGAAATAGATTTTCCATGAAAGGTCAAAGGAAATGCTAAAAACTTTTCAATTGATTGCAACAAATATGAAAGGACTAAAGCTTCACTCAAAGGATTGTCTTGTTTAGAGAACAAATAGAGGTTCTGAATACCCAAGAAATTAGAGGAGTTTCAATTAAGAAAATTTAGTTTTGTAAACGGAGAAGCCATAATTGCTGCTAACTGTGCATTTTCCAACACTGTTATGCATTTTCCAAGCATACCTCAACATATGATTCTTACTGCTATTTACAAATTTTATGATGTACTACAACTAAGAATTTACTAAGTATCCAAAACAAGGCTGATTAAAGTAAATGTTAATTAGAAAGATTGAATTACATCCTTCACACTACTAATCTTTGGTTTCCAAGAAAAAGAAAGATAAGCGCACCAAAATTCCCTGTGGGACAGCTGAATGCTGAGAAACAGCAAATTCCCAATCAGCTAACTGATTTTCAGTAGGTAAATTGCCATACACTGCAAAAAGGAAGGAATCAAATTAGATAACTGGAAACCAACACATAAACCAGACAGAAAAAGCAAGGAAGAGTTAATTGTCCAATGAACAAACAATAATAGCTTCTAATTCACATACTGTCTATTTTTTATAGATTTACAGTTTCCAGAAATCATTCTGTAATCTTAAACCAAATTGATCACTGAAACTACACATTTATACATTCATATACAGAAACAAATATTTCATGTATATCAAATAGATAGCATACTTTTATCTTACCTAAACCTTCAAACTCCCCCATCAGTCCCTATTTCACATTATATCTCTCCATACTTTAAGCACCTTAATATGCTTTCATTTTTAATCACTTATTGGACTTTACTACATGGTAAAATAATCTTCTTCATTGTTTTTAAATCAAGAATTGAATTGTAAATCATTATTCTAAAATAGTGAATCATGAAATGTATCAACTTGTGAATCAAATCATAGATTATTTTGCTAACTAGTGAATCATGAATTGCTTAAATCATTTTGCTACCAGTTTATGAGAGAAAAATAACGAAAGCCTACGCTATATCTTTTGCTAGGGTGAAGTCTCTCCTTTGGTTGGATTGAAAAGCTAGCCTACCTTTTATATTAGTTAAGGCGTCAGAGTCATACGGAAGAATATTACGGTCAAGGCGCTCATTAATGCAGGGGCTCATGTACCTCTCAAATTAATTATTAATCAAATCATATGGTTCGCCCCAGCAGTGGAATGAACCCAAGGCTCTGACTGCCTGCTCTTTATGAATTGTTATTACGAGGAGAAAAGAGAAGCAACAGTCGTGTCCTTCTATGTAAGATGGGGCTTCAGGCGGCCAGCCACCTGAATAGAATCAATCCTGGTCATCTCTTCGTAAGACTAAGCCAGGCCTGATCACTTAATGGATCAAGCAGGGCATTGATTTTCTTTATACATATAAAAATACACACAATGTTCAAAATAAAGTAAATAACAATATAACATATATTTTTATACATGTCAAATAATGTATATCAATATAACTAATTAATATTTTTTTCTATTCTTTAACAGAGGCAAAAATGACATTGTTCATGCATTATGCAAACAAAAATAAAAATCAGGAACCGAATTGTAGATCTGACACATCTGAGAGTAACTCACTCACTGAGAAGTGTCCATGCAACATACATTTGTTGGTTAAATGAAATACAATCTTGAGTGAATGAAAATTATATGTCACCATAAGCTTATTATGAACAGTACTTTTCAAAGAAATATCAAAGAAACATACTCAGGAGGTGATTTGCAAAAAAGTATGTTAATATCAAACAAATGAGTTAATTCAGCCAATCCTCTTTTTCAAATATGAGCATATCACCACAGTAGCCTTGCAATTAAATAAATTGTCTCCCGTGATTACTAAAAATTAGAAACATGTATGCATGTGAAACTTGTATAGTGATACTTACATAGAAGGTAGGCCACTTCCAGAAAGGAACTACCCTCCGCTAACTCCTCAATTGGGTAACCCCTATATCTAAGGATCCCCTCATCACCATCAATGTAACAGATTGATGACTGGACAGGAGCGGTGTTGAGATAGCCCGGATCATAAAGTTTGAGCCCCTTGTCATTCTTTCCTGTTGTTATCTGCAAATTCACAATTATCATATAGAAACCATACTTTCAATGTCAGGGTTCAAACTCCATCGCTTCTCACATAGAACAATACCATTACACATTAAGAAATACACAGATCCACTAACAACACAGGTATTACATGATGAACCAGCAAAAAATCATTTTTCCTAGAGAAGTGAAAAATAAAATATCATCACAAATTCATCAAATTATCAATGTTAATCTCAGGATAGGCAAAACATAAACTCCAGTTTGATTACCAAGAAAATTTAGGAAATCAAAAGAAATTTTAGTCTTGTTTATATGTTGGTAAAGAAAAGAAACCCAACTCAATCAAGCTCAATTGAGCACATAATTTTGTTTTCTAATGGTTGAGCCCCATGTAATTGTTACAAATTTACAGTCTTTTCTTTTTCTTTCCGTACTCCTGTTTTCTTGCCGACCACACAGAACACGAATAAATGTTCTTTCTTGGTGAACAAAAAACCCATATCAAACGACAATACATAAAAGCAATCTCCAATTCTTCCCAATTCTTTCGTCAAATTCAAATTTGAATAAATAGAAAAAAATGAGCCTCAAATCATTTTATTAATTTTGTATCAAGGGAGAGAAAAAATTTACCCAAATCAATGAACCAAATCCCTTGCCAAATTTCTAACAATGATAGTAATTTTTTCTCAAATTTAGCAAGACTTTAAAAAGAGTATTGATTAGAGATAATTTTCTTTCATAAAAAATGGTTAAAACATGTTTTTAGAGAAAATTTGTAAATTTTCAAAAAAATGACAAAAAAATAAGTAAAGATTAGTATCATATCATATCATTTTTATTTTATTTTTAAATCGACCTTTTAATCAAATTTTCATTCAAAATTGATTTTCATAAAAACAAAAATAAAAATGGAAACAACAGTTAACCAAACCCTAATCAGCTGAAATCAAATCAAATCCAATCCAATTCAATTCACATCAATCGATCAAATTACATCACAACTTTTTGTTACCTTCTTGAAATCTGTAGCTTTGACAGTTCCTTCCTCAGAGACCTGAAATTGGTGCTTCTTACCAGTCCTCTCGTCGATGATGGTCAGCGAACCCTTCAGATTCGGAGGCGGTGCGATCACCGATTGAGAGGAGACGCACGAGGCCTCGATAACAGGTACGAAGGCTTCGGATTCGACGGAAGCTGAAAGGTGAGCTGAGAGAACAGCCAAACGACCTCGAGCCACCATTGATGAATCAACCCTCTCCATTTGCTTTCCGAGAAAGAAAGAGAAAATGAAAAATTTTGATCACAAACACGGTGCAGATATATCTCTCTCTCTCTCTATATATATTCTCTATATATAAGAACTTTTCCTCTCTGCTCTGCTCTATGTTAGTTTGTGTAATGATCGAGTTGCGGCGAAAGTATACGAATTTTTTAGTTCAACTATATGAAGCACTTAGCACGGATACGAGAAGCACTTAGCACGGATACGAGTGAATGATTCGGATCGAATTGTTTTTTGGATACTGTGGAAGTTAGTGAAAAAGTCGATTTTTTTTTACTTTTAAATTTTTTAATCAAATCATTTCTCTATTTTTTATATATTTAAAAAAAATTAATTGATACTTGTTAAACATATGGGATATTTTTTATAAAAAATACATTAATTTTAGACTATTGAATACTTGATTTTAAAGTATCGAATATTTTAAGTCCTGTATTATTTTTTAAAAAAAATTGCAATTAGTTTGTTTAGTTTTAGCTTTCTGAATTCAGTTTTCTGAAAATTATATTTTTTGTTTTTAGTGAATATTTTTAAAATTTAAACAATTTTTTTACTTTTTTATATGCACATTACTTGGATGTATATAAATAATAAAATATTTTAAAATTTTCATAAATACACAAAAAAATATGAAAATATACTGAATTTTTATTTTTTTATATAATTTTTTGTATTTAGTGTATTTTTTAAAGGTTTTTTTTACAAATATTATACTTTTTAAGTGTATTTATGTTATGTGTGTTTAAAAATTATTTAAAATATTAAAAAAATTAAGTAAAAACATTAAAATACGAAAAATAAGAAAGTATAATTTTCAAAAAATTATTTTCTGAAAACCAAAACCAAACAAGCTGAGTAGTTTTATTTCTTGCATAATATTATAATATAATACAATTGCAAGGATAAATTTGATAATACTTTTCTAATATGTTGTTTAGTTCTTTGATAGAAAGAACATAGTGAGTTAAAGTAATAAAATTTATTAAATTGATGTATCCTTATTATTTTATGTATGTCTACTATAATTACATAGAAAGTAAGGATTAATAAGAGAACAACAATGATTTATACCACTAAAAAAAAGGCCACTAATAGCACTAATACATTGGGAATACCAAAAAATAAAAAACATAGGCAGTGGGTGGGATCCGCCCACTTCCATATCGGGAAAATTAGTCTAAGGTCCCTCTCTCATTTTTAGTAATGGAAGAGATCCACAATACAACAAAAAAAATATAAA